CTTTCATCTGAGTGTTGAGAGCTGTATCCATAAATTCATTTTGTGCTCAAAGTGCACCAGAAAGATGCATTTCACTTCAACATTTTAAAAAACATCTTCCCATGGGGAGCATGCCCCCGGACCCCCCTAGAGGAGGTGAGGACCCCCCTAGAGGATGTGAGGTCCACCCCCAAATAAAGCAGGTTAAAATAATCAAATTGAATACATTTTCTTTTAGTAAAGACTGAAAACGGGTCCCACAGACCCAAACAGCACACAAAGGTTAATGGTAAGCATATAATAATGTTAAAATGTGCTAAATATATACACTTCAAAAAACAAAAACAAAGAGGAGTAAAAGTAGCCCCCGACTTGTTTTATATTTTGAGAGTAGCCCTCACCCTAAAAAAGGTTGGTGACCATGCTGTAAAGGGTACTGCACCGTATATAGAAGGATGACATTAAAGTCTCTCCAGGAGCATCTCTCTCCCCCCCGCCCCCCCCCCCCCCCCCAGTGATGCACTTACAGACGCACTAGTTGCTGAAGGACAATTTTGTTGGTGTTCATGTTGAAGATGTACTCTGAACGGCACAATAAATGTACACTGGCAAGAAACCGTTTCAAATGTCCTGGTTTTGAATTAATTGGTCATAATATGTCACTATTAGGCAACAAAATGAGCTTAAGCTAAGAATACACAAACAATTATAATATGTAATGTCTTTATTAAATAAACCCAACATCGCTGGTGGAATAAGCAAGTGAATTCTAGGATTTAATAACTTGTCGAGTCTCCTTTAGCAGCAATAACTTCAACAAGAGCTTTTTCCAAACTACGTGAATGTTTGAATGATCAATATGGAAGAAAAAACTATAATTGTATGTGTTCAAACAAATCGTTTCATCGGTATTGTAACTCGGACCATGTTTTAAGAAATAAATTACTCATAAATGCCATGGATGTATAAAGAGAACTGGATACAGCCGCTGTATACATATAACCAATTTGTTTTACTGTTTCATACTTTAGGCTTGAATGAACACTGAAACATCTGCACATTTAAATATATTATATTTACATCAGGACAGGAGGATACGTCCCCAGCTGACCCAGAAAACAACGCAGGTTCTGGTCCAGGCTCTCGTCATCTCACGCCTAGACTACTGCAACTCCCTCCTGGCTGGTCTACCTGCATGTGCCATCCGACCTCGTCTGGTCTTCAACCTTCCTAAATGTTCCCACTCCGCTCCTCCGCTCCCTTCACTGGCTAGAATCCACTTCAAGACACTGGTACTTTCATACCATGCTGCGAATGGATCTGGCCCTTCCTACATCCAGGACATGGTTAAACTGTACACCCCAGCGCGTGCACTACGCTCTGCATCAGCCAAACGACTCGCTACACCCCCGCTGCGAGGGGGACCCAAGTTCCCATCAGCAAAAACACGTGGGTTTGCTATCCTGGCTCCAAAATGGTGGAATGAGCTCCCCATTGAAATCAGGACAGCAGAAAGCCTACACATCTTCCGGCGCAGAATGAAAACTCATCTCTTTCGACTCCACTTCGAGCGATAGAATTACTAACAAAGAACTATTAACAAAGCACTTATATACTAATAAATGACTGGCTTATCTAAAGCCAGTTGAGTAGCACTTGAAATGTTTGGCTCTATGAAACCTGATGTACTTATATGATTCTGTTTTCTTCAAGGTTGTGTCTTCCTGGTCGAATGTACTTATTGTAAGTCGCTTTGGATAAAAGCGTCAGCTAAATGCAATGTAATGTTATATTGACATATTATTTGATGTTCCTGAAATTTTAAACGGACATTTCCTTGTGTTGAATATACATGTTGTACACTGTGAAAGCTACATTTAATTTTGAAACATATAACGTTTGATTTCCGATCAGAAAATCTAACATAAGAAACCATTTGTGAATCCCATGTCCATAGGCGCGTTCACACCGCAGTACTTTTCCCACTTTGGTTCCGATATAGTTCCGAAATGTCGCGTTCACACCAAAAAAAGCCGGAACTAAAACTAGTTAATCAGAACCTTGTTTACCCCCTTTTCCGTCCCTGCTAGAGAGCAGGTACTTTCGTGGGAGAAAAAGGTTCCTATGTCTGATTGGCTGGGCGGATTGCAAACCACGCCCCGTAAAACTCCAAAAAAGTTGTGTGAAGCCGCCATTTTATTATCATCGCATTAGCATTATTAGCATTAGCATTAGCCCAGTGCACAAACGCAGAGAGACTAACTTATGGCAACACAAAATAAAATATGGGAGCGGTGGAGATGAGGAGGTGTCGGCGTTCTTGCGATTTACTCGGAAGGCTTCAGTAGAAGCTGCTGGGACTCCCAGCAGCTTCTACTGGAGCCAGTCCCCAACTCCGGGGACTTCCGGCCGGGGACTTCGGGTGGCAGTATACGCCGTGAAGTGGTTTGCGGCCTGCCAGTAAACCCAAAGCAGAAGAAGAAGAAGTGACGTCAGCGGCTTCATTTGCCTAATCCACCCCCAGGGACTTATTCCGGTGTGAACGCGATCTGTACTTAGTTCATGAGAACTAAAGAGTTCTGATGAACCTTTGTGGGATAAGTACTGCGGTGTGAAAGCGGCTAATGTCAAATGATGGGTACCAAAAAAACTGAACAAATTGCGGATTGAACATTTGTTTGTGTACCACATCCAGCAATAAACAGTAGTCTGCATAGTCCACTTGTATTTTCATTTACTGAAGGAGTATAGTGGTGTAAACTGCTTTTTAGAAACCACTATGATGTAATATGGTTATTTATCTGGGTTGCCTCTGCTCATTTCATGCCTAAGGTCCTACATGCGGGAGTGATGGGTAATTGGGTAAAGAGCAACAACAAAAGAATCTCTCTCTGAGTGCACAGAGTAATATTGTCAGTTTTTAAAGATTTCCCGGCTACATACAAGTTTGATAAAAACAGAATTACAGAATCAATCATACACTCTGGGAAGAGCTACATTGAATTTATAACAAATAGATTGACTTCAGGCTGAACTTGAGAGGAGGAAAAAACATAGTGAATATAATTACCAAGGACAAGTGTTTTTTATTCGCTGAAAAGGTTAGCAGTAAGCCACTTTTAAAAGAACAATAGTAAATAGGACGAATAAAAGAAACAGGGCGTGTGTGCCGCTCCACATCAATAGGGTCTTTTATTCAATGGGGTCTAAGCATGTAGGCTATTGGATGACTAAAAGTTCAGATTGCAGTTTCCAACATTTTATTTAATATAGAAGAGTGCAAAAGCAAAAATGTATTCTGTCAGGATTGGGGAAACTAAACACACAAAACTAAAATCATGACATATTCCTGGAGAAACTGCTGTTTGTGTTCGGGCGGCAGACACCCTATCCGTTTTTAAGAGGATTAGATTCAGCCCCTACAGTGTTGCTGCTATAGGCTTAGACTGTCGGGGGACACACCTTACTTCTTCCTTCTGTCTGTCTGTACCTAATTACTCTCATGTTCTGAATAACCCAGCTTCCCCCAAATTTATTTTTGGAGTCTGTCTACGCCGGGATCCTGAGTCGTGGCTGATCCTGTTGCTGCGGTCCTGAGTCCTGGATCGCGAGCCCTGGATCCTGAGTCGTGGCTGATCCTGTTGCTGCGGTCCTGAGTCCTGGATCGCGAGCCCTGGATCCTGAGTCGTGGCTGTGCCCGTTGCTGTGGTCCTGGATCCTGAGTCCTGTATCCTGGATCCTCTATCCTGAGTCCTGGACTTCGAGTCGTGGCTGAACCTGTCTCTGCGGTCCTGCCTGACTCTCATCATACTACTTCCCTGATGGCTCCCACAGGATTGTTGACATCCTCGTGGATTCATCTTCTTATAGACACATGCATTTCCAAACATTTGGACTACCTACGCCAGGCATCCTCAAACTACGGACTCCGGTCCGGATCCGGACCGAACCACCACTGTCTCCGGACTCTGAGCAAATTATAGTTTTCATATGTATTATCTACGGTGGCCGGCAGGTGCAAACGCTAAACAACGGCCAAAAACACACACATAAGCAGGAAACACCTGCAAATAATGAAATGAAAAACCAACAAACCCTGAAAACACATACAACAGAAAAACGCTGCATTTACAGAAATGATGCAAGCTAAACCTACAACACACAAACCCCGAAAACAAACGCAACAGAAAAACGCTGCAAATACAAAAACGATATGCAAAGTCAAAAGCACATACAACCGAAAAACACATTACAAAAAAAAAAGACATTACAAAAAAAAAACATTCCGGAAGTGCTTCAGGCCTCTAGGGGGCGCGCTACGTGGAACAGATCGATGTATGACCAGACATAGAGAGAACGAACAAGAGGAAAGAAAGTTCATTTAAGTGGAGAAAGATATAAGAAGGTAAGTTTTGTTTTTTTATACATAGAGCGTCATATTTATATAGCTAGCGTTAGCGTGCCTAACTACTACACCAGCTGAGGGAGGAGAGCTTCACGTGAAGAGAAGAGAAAGTGAGGGAAGAACATTGTAAAGAGATGACAAATCAAGTGCAGGCAAATAACACGGGCCATAGTGAGTACCGCGGAAAAAGGACATTTGAATTCTTAGCAGTTTGTTTATATTTATGTATTTGTGTATAGATGTTGCAACTCTACAGAGCTTTAGCAATTGCCTGTAACTATGGTCATGCTAATAAAGCTATTGAATTGAATTGAGAGAGAAAGAGAGAGAGGAAGTGACAAAATGTGAAGAGGGACAAAGTAATGACAGGATAGTAGTGTGCATTAGACATTCAAGGAGAGAGAGAGACAAATCACAGATTCAACGGTGAACATGATGTATCTATCTATTTATTTAGCTAACCACTATTTAGACTATGTGTTTTTGATTGACTTGATTACATGGATTTACTACATCAATGTATGTCTTTTCAGGCTGCCATGTTTTGTCCTTTCTGTGGCCAACATCTGGGGACAGTTCAAGTGCTCTGTGGCAAACATGTACAGTTTTTGGCAGAAGTTGAACACAACAGTAAGTTCACTTTTTGTATTGTATCTGTTTCAAATGCAAGAAATAAGGATTCAACACACTGCTCTGTTTAGAATGCTAATTGGCAGATGCATACACTAGTTATCAGCATGAAGGACACATTTTTTCATTGTCTGTTTATGTGAAATATGTAGAAGCCATCATTAAATTGTAGACCAACGCATGATTAAATACACAAAACAGCTTATATTATACATTCATAATTGTGTATTAGTTATATCTTTATAAAGAACATTATACATTTAGAATCAGATTTTGAGACAGTGAGCCATGACATGATGTTTTCTTCTTTTTCTCCTTGTGTTTTTGAACTATAGAAGTTGCAATCATCCTCCCAGCATGAAAGTATTCGTCATCTTTTGCAGCTGTTGATATTTTTTGTTAAATTATTATCACGTTAACCAACAGTTGCCACGTTATCATAAAGATATACAGTATAAGATAATGTAATTGTCACGTAAATCAAGCTGCAAAATCCATAAGCAGCTCCTATATTTACAGTACAGTATTGAACATAAGACAGATTTGCGAACATCATTACCTGCATTGTCGAACTTGAGGAATTTCCTGTCCTGTGGACCATCAAATATTCTTCTCATTCTCAGGCATTCCATTAGGAGGGTCAGGAACTCACGCTTGGGACCACCAGTGTCCACTCCATCCTCAGTTTGTCCCTCATCGTCAGTAAACTTAACCTGCATCTGATGAGAGGGGTCGAATGAGGCCCCTTTGAAGCCGCGGATTGCTCCATCCCACACATTGGCTCTATTAATATTGAACCTGCTGCAAGAGGTATTTTTAATTTTTGCAGAGAGTTCTGCAACAATGTCTGGCGCAGTCAGGTATTCTGTGCTGGGAAAGACAAAGTGATGTATTGTAATATTAAATGATGAAGCTATAATAAGATTTACAGTATAGAATAAAAAAATCAAGTGATAAAAGTAACATTTAATACATTTCCTCTGCAGTTTGCTCCGTTTCCTCTTCTGGCTCAGACTGGCTGTCAATAATGATAAGTGCATACACAGTTGTGTAGTTGCTGCAGTGAGAAGACAGTTGAATAATGACTTTCAAATACATAATATATGCATGACAGTCATATTTGCAAAAGGATGTCGATCCTCTTCCTGTTTTTTTTTAATACATTGGGTTCTAAACTGACAACAGCACTTTGTCATACTCCTGCACAATCCTTGTAAACATTTGAAATGGATGCAACAAACAATATCTGACCTTTGACAAATATTTGTGGGTGTTTTTTGTATCGTCTTCACTAAGATGTTGTGGGTGTCCTTTGGAAATGTATGAAAGTATAATTGTTCTGCTTCCTGGCAATATTACCCACTGTGATTGGAGGCTATGCAAACAACCAAATGTACAAATAAAAATACACACCAAACAACTGTGTCACGATGCAACTGTCAACATCGTTTACCTATAGAAGGTGTTCTGACCCGGGGCAGACTGGACCTCTTCCTGGAATGGGGTTGGTTCTCCATCCTACTTTTACCCAATAAATAATGATGCAGTTGATCTAATGACAGTGTCATTAGCACACAAAGGTATTTATTGATTTCATGTTCACAAATTCAAACCTACATGGTATAATTACATTTGTAATTAGTCTTACCCGATCAGACGCTGGTTGTGGGTGCCTGAGAGGTCTGATAAAGGTAAACAAAAAATATATTCAAACTACTGTACTGTTAAAACATTCTGCTTCTTGTGGCACAAAATAACATGTTGACAATGTTTTATTTGACCCTGGCAAACTGTTGTCCATTCTGGGAGTGCTCTGTTCATTTGGAAAGTCCCACACCTGCATACAACACACAAATGACTGACTGAAATAAAATAAATTCACTTTAATTAAGAATAAATGCCACGATAGATCCAAACTGACCACGGTGTCAGCAAGACTGTCTCCAGATGGCAACTTTGCAAAAACCACACTGTCCTCGTCACTTGAAGAGGTTGTTCCAGTGTAACCTAAGAAAATAAAAGTGTCATGATTAATACTATACAAATAATTGTTCCCCTACGTCTGTACCTATCATCAAATGTTGGTTTGAATCCTGAATTATTGGATTGACATCAATCAGAAAGAATTCAATCGAAACACAAAATGTTTGTGAAATGTACATTATATTGTTGACCGTCTTTTTCACTCTCACATTAGGATTTAGGGCACAACAAACCAACATTGTTGTGAGAAAAAAGGTTAATTTAGAATTACAATCCTTAAGAGGGAATTTATAACAGTTTGAACAGAAGGAAAGTTTGGAAGCTTTTGTTGATACTTAAATTCCATTTCTTCTGCCACTATTCATAAAAGACCATTTGACGTCATAAGTTCAACCACGAAGAGAAAGGAATGATGGGTGGAATGAATTGTGTTAAGAAATATAGACAGAACAACTGTTATGTTTACATTTGAACTATTATACAGTTTAGTGCTTTAAACAAGGGGGAATATATGTCAGAAGCACTTACAACTGTTTTCAACGGCTTCAAGAGTACAGATGTACAACGTAATTCGTTGGTAGGGCTTTCCAATGGCCTCTTTGTACATCTGTACTGTGAAAGGGGTGTCCGTTCCGGGGATATTTGTTATCACCCTCGCATCAGGGTACAACAAGACATGGGCACCATCTTCCAAGTCCTGGTTAAAGGCTTTCTGCTTTTTTATGGCAGCAGCCAACAGTTCTTCACATGCCCATTGAGGTTCGACATTAAGGGGAAGTGACCTCCCTCTCAAAGGTTTAAGGCAGCCATCCATCCTCCTCATTACTCCAACAGAAATCTGCAAAAAGACAATAATATGCAAATGAATAAAACATTTTTTCGGACATTATATGAGAGTGTGGTGAGCAGATTTGAATGACAGATGTATTCATAACAGAAAACGTTGCATACCAATTTCTGTTTATTTTTGGAGTTATGCCGTCCCTTTGTAAAAAAGGTCTCTCCCTCTTTTTTATTTCCCTATATTTCTGAAAGGACTCTACAGCTGAGCTTCCTGCTACAAAAAAACAGGAATAAAACATTCATTACTCTTCATTATGTTCAATATGTCTCATCCTCAATCCCTTCTGAGGAACATCTTATAACACATTCAACAGTAGGTAAGTCACATAGTTTAGAGATGTATTTTTATAATAACAGAATTCGAACTTTTAAACCAAGTTTTCTATAAATACTTATTGTTTGGTAATAAAACGAACAACCTATTTACCTGCACTGGTGCTAGGCTGTGCACTTAGATGCGCACTAGTGGTGGGCATCTCCTCAGGGACTTTGTTAGCCACATCTTTTAGAAATGTGATGTCTCTGCCACAGACACCACAAAAGCCATGCGAAGATGTCACGCTGGAACCACAGAATGGACAGTACATCTGTGGAGAAATAAAATGTAGGACAGCTAGGTTAAGTCAAAAAGAGTGGATATTTTTCAGCTACCTAAATATTATAATAGTATTAAAGAACGGTCTTTCAATTAACTCATCAGAAGCCAACCTCCTGTCTATCCCCCCACAAACCAAGCACCGAACCTGGGGGGACAGCGCTTTCTCCATTGCTGCCCCCTCCCTCTGGAACTCACTCCCATTAAACATCAGAGACTGCACCGACCCCCCCCACCTTCAAAACACACCTCTTCAGACTGTCTTTTAATGTGGGAATAATGTTGTGTTGCTGTTTTAATATTTTAATTCAACTTTTTACATTTGATTTCCTTTTTATCACCGCATCGCATTTGCGGCTCAGTTGAGGTCCCATCCACGAGGTGAGGGCGTGATACCCCACCCAGTCTGTGATCTGCGTGTAGGGAGGGGCGTCCCGGTTCTATACTATATCTATATTATGTCAAGAGTTACATTTAGGTGCACAATGGCTCTTGCAAGCTCTTTGATCAAACATGCTAACGCTAGCTACGTAAATATGACGCTCTATGTATAAAAACAAAACAAAACTTACCTTCTTATATCTTTCTCCACTTAAATGAACTTTCTTTCCTCTTGTTCGTTCTCTCTATGTCTGGTCATACATCAATCTGTTCCACGTAGCGCGCCCCCTAGAGGCCTGAAGCACTTCCGGAATGTTTTTTTTTTGTAATGTCTTTTTTTTTTGTAACGTGTTATTCGATTGTATGTGCTTTTGACTTTGCATATCGTTTTTGTATTTGCAGCGTTTTTCTGTTGCGTTTGTTTTCAGGGTTTGTCTGTTGTAGGTTTAGCTTGCATCATTTCTGTAAATGCAGCGTTTTTCTGTTGTATGTGTTTTCAGGGTTTGTTGGTTTTTCCACTTCATTATTTGCAGGTGTTTCCTGCTTATGTGTGTGTTTTTGGCCGTTGTTTAGCGTTTGCACCTGCCGGCCACCGTAATTATCTCTCTGTATTATATGTGAGACATCGCCACAACGCATTCGCAACGAGTCAAAATTCTCCGCTATGTCCACTGCAAACATCGCTCTGCATGTCTGACTGTTCCACTGTGTTCCACCTGTGTGTGTCAACGCTTTGGTCCAATCACATTCAGCATCCAGTCAGCGTTTTTTCCCCCCAAACAATCTGCGAATCAGAGGCACAGTAGGGCGGGTCTTCGCGGAATGGGGGTGGGAAAAATGTGTGTGTCTCTTTCAACCTGTCTAAGTCAGAGCGAGAATTAAAAAAAACAAAATTCAGAGCGAGAGTTAACAGCTCATCTAGTTCCATCTGTACTGTAGCTTGTAGCCTAGTTTCACCTACCGGGGTGGCAACTGACACCCTAAAAATAGGCCTTGCCACCCCAGCTGCCACCCCAGTTGGCAGCTTTGTTTTGAAAGAAAAGTTGTGGCTCATCGGACATTTATGAGAGAAAGTCTCTAATGTCCGAGTGCAAGTGAATGCAGCACAAGATGCACGTCATGCACGTCCCCCGGTCCTGGCGCGAGTGTGGACATACGATTGGCGGCGATTTCATTTTGAACTGGACGGCGCAAAACGAGAAGCATTCGGACCCAAGCACTGAAGGAATGAGGTATTTGCGGTCTACACTGACAGAGAAGAGACTGTCAGTTTGGCTGTACTCAGCATTGAATCAAAACGCTCTACAGCTGTTGATCTTAATACGTTTGTGAGGCGTTTTGCTGAACAAAATGGCAATCGCCGCATTCAGCTGTAATAGACATGTCAACTTGATGCTCTGCTCACGGATGAGCATACACAACTATTAAAGGTGGGGTAGGTAAGTTTCAGAAACCGGCTCGAGTGCACTAAAATTTGAAAATACACAGCCGAAAAGAATCCGCCCCTTCCTTCAGACTTCCTTACAGAGCACCTCCTCCAACACACATGAACGCGCACATGACGTCTGCAGACTGGTGAAAGTGGCCGCCTGGCGAGTCATTGAAGTACTGCTGCAATGCACGCCCAATGAGGGCACTAGATACATTTGTGCGTGCACGAGATGGAAGGCTGACAGACAGGGCGGCAATCCAATCCGTTTAGCCGTGGTACTTTTACAGCACCACGGCTTCCACAGATGAAATTTGTTTATGGATTTTTTGTCAAATACTTCAGATATTCATTGCTATCGGGATGTTAAGAGCATTCCATGGAATATAACAAAAAGTGTATCTCGAGCCGGTTTCTCAAACTTACCTACCCCACCTTTAAGATGATGACCTTACGTGTGTAAATATATTTTTTTCTTTGAGGGGGTCTGCCCCCAAAAAACTGTTTTAAGTCCTGAGAAAGTCAAATAAGACGGTGTGTAAAACTTCACTGCCCAGCCAAAAAAAAGTAACCACTTTGATTTAACTAGGCCAGTAGGTAAGGGCTTTCCACTGGATAATAACTGAAGTATAAAATAATGCATGACTGAAGTGATGGAGACCATGTTGAAGGCAAACAAAAAGAGGAAATAACAGGTAAAATCAAGCAAATCCCCCTCTCAGATTCCACAGCAACCAGAAGAACATACATACTGGCTGGTGATTTGATTAATCAGCTTTGTGATGGAATAAAAAATGCACAGTGCATTTCCACTGACACCACTGACAATGCTCAGTTGCTGCTGTTTGTGAGTTTTTATGATGAGGCAAAGGGGGAGTTTGTTGAAGATGTGTTGGGCCTGACGAACCTCAGTGGACACACAAGGGGGCAAGACATTTATAAAGCAATAATGGGAATGCTGAATGAAAGAGGGTGCAGCTGCCTTTATTCATAACTGTGCAGCTCTTACACTGCGACTCTGAGGGGTCAAGCACAGACACAATAACAATGAAAACTGCTGCATACAGATTATTTTTGTTTTTGCAACCTCGTGTTAAGAATCTTCTTGCAATTGTTTAAAAGTTTGAATGACCGTAATAAACGGACCTTTGTCTTATTGAAACATTTATTTTGGACCTTTAAGATTTGTATTTGAGTACCCCTGACCTACGCTTTAAACTGTATTATCTCTTCGATTTACACACGGCATCTATTGCACGTCTGTCCGTCCTGGGAGAGGGATCCCTCCTCTGTTGCTCTCCCTGAGGTTTCTCCCATTTTCCCTTTAAACTGTGGGTTTTCTCCGGAAGTTTTTCCTTGTACGATGTGAGGGTCTAAGGACAGAGGGTGTCGTATTGTCATACTGATATTCTGTACACACTGTGAAGTCCACTGAGACAAATGTAACATTTGTGATATTGGGCTATATAAATAAAGGGACGGGCGGCGCAGTGGTCTGTGCGTTTGATCATCAGATCAAGGGGGCGTTGGGGAACTCCAGTTCGAAACCCGCTCCTGCCCCACTGCGTCAGGCCGTTGTGTCCTTGGGCAAGACACTTCACCCGAATTTGCTCCTGTGGGTATTGTATCTGCAAGCTGACGACATTGTGCATTTAAGCAACAAAAATGGACTACATATTTTTCATCTGAACACTAACAGCCTGAGACTGGCTGAACTCAGGCAGCTATTCATGAACGGTAAGGCAAGCATATTATGCTTTTCTGAGACCAAATTGGACAATTCCATTACAGATTCAGAGATTGAAATTGAAGATTATCTTGTAGTGAGAAGGGACAGGAACGTGAATGGAGGTGGTGTCTGCATGTACATACATAAAGACACCAATTTCAAAAACCGCACTGACCTGCATCATGAAAATATTGAATCTGTGGGTTGAAATTCTTTTTGACAATGCTAAATCTGTAATAGTCGGGACAATCTATAGACCACCGGAACAGAGTGACTTTTATGATACATTAGATGGGTGTTTGGCTGATGTGGGGGATGTAGAGACAATTATTATTGGAGACTGGAACACGGATATGCAACGTAAAGACACGTCCGTCTTCAAGTCCTTCAGTAGGATTTGTGATCTGCACGGCTTCAGCCAGCTAATCACCCAACCCACCCGGGTATGTGAAACAACACAAACTACCATTGATCTCATTCTGACCTCTGACAAGTCCAGGATCTCCAGTAAAGGGGTTATAGCATGCGGGTTAAGTGATCATTATATAATATTCTGTACCCGCAAAAAGCTAAAACAAAGGGCCGGCTGTCACAAAACAGTCATATCTAGAGACCTCAAAAACTACTCTAGCGAGGCCTTTAACCTAGAACTGGAGAGCCTGGACTGGTCAGATGAGCTCAGTGGTACACAAGTTGAAGAAACATGGCTTGGTTTCAAAAACAAATTCTCTGCAATACTCAATGATTTGGCCCCCCTAAGAACAACCAGGGTAAAAAATCGCGCTGAGCCGTGGATGCACTCCGGCATACTGACCGCCATGAAAACCAGAGACAAAAAATGCTCTGAGTTTCATAAAAGTCAGTCAATGCTTTCCAAAAGCACGAGCAGTGAACTCCAGGCCCACGTGACTGAACTAAAAATGGAAAGAAACAGACTAAGAAATGACGTAAGCTCCATGATCAAAACTGCCAAAAAGAATTTCATCAATGTCAAAACTGAGGAAAACAAAAATAAACCCCGTGAACTTTGGAAATTACTCAATAACCAGCTTGGCTGCAGTAAAAAACTCAAAACGAGATTTTCTAACTTAAACATAAAGACAGATAACAGGCTCATCACAGACAAACTGGATGTGGCCAAGTACTTGACATTTTTTTTCACAAACATAGCCACAACTCTTGTAAATAGATTACCCTCCCACTCAGGGCTTTTTGGAGTAGATCACATCATGACCTACTACAAAAACCTAGGGGTACGCAAAGATGATTTCAGTCTAGCAAGGGTAACAACAGCAGAGGTACTCATTAAACTGAGCGCCCTCCAACCTAACAAGGCCACTGGCCACGACAATATCCCCTCCAAATTCCTCAGAGACACAGCAACCGCCATCTCACCAGTCATAGCTCACATAATTAACCTCTCCATAAAACAGGGAAAAGTACCCAAAGACTTCAAAATTGCAAGAGTAACCCCCCTGCACAAAAAGGGCAGCAAATTGGACCCAGGCAACTACCGCCCTGTTTCTATACTTACCTCCATCTCGAAAGTCATGGAAAAAATAGTATATGAACAGGTCGAAAAGTACCTCGCGGAAAATAAACTAATCTATGAATTTCAATCTGGCTTTAGAACATCCCACTCCACTGACACATGCCTTCTTTATTTGAGCGACCACATCAAACAAGAGGTGGACGAGGGCAAGTACTGCAGCATGGTGATGCTGGACCTACAAAAGGCTTTCGACACTGTCAATCACCCCATTCTGATTGACAAGCTAAAAGCAATTGGTTTTGATAAACTATTGGTGAGCTGGATGCAATCCTACCTGGAGGGGAGAGAACAGATGGTGGAGGTAAACGGTACTCTGTCCCCCCCCCTCCCAGTGAGCTGTGGTGTTCCACAAGGAAGCATATTAGGTCCGTTACTGTTCCTAATTTATGTAAATGACATGTCATCAGCATGTGACTGCAACTTGTTCCTGTTCGCGGACGACTCTGCCCTGCTGGTCTCTGACAGGAGCAGGTTGCAGGTTGAAAAAACCCTCAGCTCCGAGCTCGGCAGAATCTGCACCTGGCTCGCCGATAATAA